ATTTGATTTATCATCATGTGTGCAGTCGCTCTTCTTCAGCTGCATGTTTTAACTAAGTAGTTTTCAAACAATAAACCAATAAATCCTTTATACTGATTCTGCTCTGTGTAAGCTGGACTCTGTGTAAGTATGATGACGTCAAAGGGGATGGGCACAGATATCAAAATGAATAGGTGTCAGGTCCTGGACAATGCTGTCAACTGAGGAGAAGTATTGGGGGAGTAAAATATACTCTTCCCAATACTTAGAGCCAGCATGGGGCACTGCAACTGTCATGCACCTGCTTCATACTGAGAGCTGAATGATCATGTGACCACTGATCACTCAGCTCACGGTCTCTTCCCCTGCAGAGAGTGGTGACTGTCATTCAGGGATTCCTCCCTCCCCTCTCTGTTTCTCCAGCACTCATTGCAGGGACATACGGGGAGGGGGGGTGCACAGCTTGTTCTGGCTCTAGAGAGGCAGAGCCAGCTGTCAATCAGGCAGCCGGTGGATCCCAACAACATTGTTGGGATCCTTCCTGGCTGCAGTGTGGCTCTGTGCGGTCAGTATATAGCGGGAAGTAGCCTGCTATATGCTGACTTTGGATCATGGGAGTACATTAGTAAATGTACTCCTGTGACCCAAAAGAGAAGCAAAGCCAAAAAAAAAAGTGGTAACTGGTTGCAGTTCTTATTAAAGGAAAACTGTCACAATCACATATTAAAAGTAAAAAAATGGGGAAATTAGTTGTGGTTTTATAATATTGAAACACGGCCTCTTATTATTGCCTATACTATTCATTGAAACAGGAATTGACAGAGGGCAGGGCAAATTAGGGCAGGCTTACCACTTACAGTGCCCTCCTCCATCATTGAGGTATGTGCTCCACCTTTTCATTCCATCTACTGCCTCTGCTATCTTTTCTTGGTCTTCTTAGAGGTCCAGTGTCTTTCGTCTTTGCTCATTGGGTGACCTCTGATGAAGCAACTCCTCTGCATGTGTATTGGAGTTATAGGGTCTCGATACCCAAGTCCATGCTCAGCATCTTACAAAGTCAATAGTGTGCACAGCACTGAGCAGAAATTTGATAGCAGACCTCTAAAGCAGATGAGACTCTTTTACCGAAAAACTCTGTTATCAAATCTTTTGTTTCTAAATGTAGTCATGTGAAAAACTAGGTATACCCCATGAAAATTGTAGACCTTTTCAACATATTTGAACTACAATTTCCCAGCAGGGCTTACCGATAAAGGTGATATACTTCAACACATAGCATAAAATTGGCATCATGTATTTATTGTCATAATCTAAATTTAAGAAAATGCATAACCATTAAAATGGAAAAAGAGACACCCCTACTTTTACTTACTGGTAGCCAGTTTAAAAACAATGCCTACAAGGGGCAATACCAGCTTCTGTGGCCAAGGTTGTGCTTACTTTTTTCACAGCACACCATTGCATCTGTTGATATTTTTGTTGCATAAATGATTTAAAGGGCAACATTTGTGTTTTTTTTTTTAAATGTAAGCATATCATTTTTATTTGTAGACATTGAATAAAAAGATCTATTTTTTGCTTGTTCAAAAATGTTGAAAAAGTCAACAATTTCAGTGGGGTGTACATTTTTCACATGACTGTATAGTATGTAGACTGCATAGTATGTATAGTATGGGAAACATGTATTGGTTACCTTCAATAAAAACGATATCACAAAATGATTAATAGATCCAGAGATAAAAGCAAATGTCTGTCAACCATGGTCATGCCCACTCACACTCAAGAGTCTACTCTTGGTTAGTTACTCCCCCCCCAATGCATTAAAGAACTGATAAAGAAGCTCAACAAGTATAAGGAGGTGGGCCTAAGCTCAATTTTTAGATGAAAAGACAAGGTTTGCATAGAAATGCAGCTGTCCGTGTCTCTGAATCTGTTGAACATTTTGACTTTTTTTTTTTTGATGGTAACCTTCACTTATGTGTTTTTACATCATATGTATAGTTTGAATAGTCCAGGTTTGTGAAAATATTGCTGACCCCGGCCCTTGTTGTTGTCCCCACATTTCCAGGAGCTGCTGTGTCGCCCATTGTTGCTTGTTGCCAGTTTGGTCTGCTTTCCCACTGTGCACACATAACCACAAGTTGTCTTCCCAAAAGGTACCCTTAAACTGCTCCTTGCCTTTGTTTCAGTTTCACCACCATTCAGTTTTTCCACCATGACCAAGAAAAGAAAACCCTGTGTGCTCCCGGTCACACAGGGAAAGGTTGCATGCACCATGCCCCCTTTCCCCATACCCAGAAGTGGGTATTTCACCTAACTCCTGGCAGCATTATGCAGTGGCGCAGAATACATGCAGCTGATGGGGGGAGGAGGGTACTAAGTGACCGCTTTACTTTGTCCTATGTGGACAAATTAAATGGGTAACTTTGATCAGTGATGTTAATGTTTAGATAGGCAATGAACACATAGAGGAGAATTTATCAAAACGGGAGCAGACAAAATCTGGAGCAGATTTGCACTGCAACCAATCAGCTTCTATCTCTAATTTTCAAATGTCAACTGAGCAAACTAAAGAGAGATACTGATTAGTTACTATGGGCAACTGCTCCAGGTCATCTCTTCCCCAGTTTTGATAAATTCCCCCCATAGTTAGTTTGCCTAGATCAGTGGAGCTCAACTTGTGATATCCCGGGGGGGCACATAAGGCTAACTAGTGCTACCTTGGCAAAGGTTGGCCAGCTCATAGACTTGCACTGTGAAAAGGACCAGTAAAGCACAATCATTGTGTAGCACTGCTAAGCTGAAAGAAGAGTTTATCAGATGTTATCACCAATTACAGCTGTCCCTGTGTACACTTATAATTACAAACTATACATTGAAACAAATGTTTTAAAATGTTAACACATATTGATAACATTTATCTAATGCAACTTTTATTTAGAAATAAGCATCTGCTGGGTTGCAACTGGCAATCTCTGGGGTACTCTTTCTATATACTTTGGCATATTAACCTCTCAGAACAGTGATCACTTTAACTAAACATTAACACCGTGTTGACTAATGTTAAAGTAATATTAAAGTCAAAAGGTTTTTGAGCTATTTGAAAGGCTGATTAAATCACTTCCAATGGATGCAGCTTCTTGATGTTTAAAAGTTTTCATTTCCTGCAGAATCAGCTGGTCCCCTAAGCACTGGTCCTGCTAACCTGTATTATGGTGGCTCCTTCCCCTTGCAGGGTCCTATTGAGCCACCCTTGTGTGTGCTAGTAGTGTGTGTCTCCACAAGCACACAGACACAGCAAGGCAAAGCACTCTGCTCTCCTTCCTTTTCTCTTCTCTAAGGTGGTAGATGGACAACTGCTGGAGACTGTTCTGTCCCTAGTGATCTTGTACTTGACAGGAAGTTCAGGTAAGCCATGCTGAGTTGGAGCTGTTTGGAAACATAATGACTGTAAGCCATTTGGGTAAAAATATAAAGAAATGCTTTACAGGGCAATGTATATTTGTTTGATCTAGATTCATCAAACAGATTAATAGTTTAATACTACTTCAATGTTTAAAGTGATAGTTACATACATTAGTCAGGCTGAAAAAAAGACACATGTCCATCAAGTTCAATCTAACTGATGACTCTACTAAGAGGGTTAATCTGCCATAGTGTATAGAAAGAGTACCCCAGAGATTGCCAATTTCAACCCAGCAGATGCTTATTTCTACTGGAGTACGCGGTCCAGTTCTGGTCACCAGTACTAAGACAAGATGTCCTTGAGTTGGAAAAAGTCCAGCGGAGGGCAACCAAACTAATTAGGGGTATGGAGGACCAGAGCTACGAGACAAGGCTACTAAATTTAAACATGTTCACATTGGATGTGAGGAGATTAAGGGGGATATGATTTCCATGTACAAAATGTTTAATGGTGGTAACAACATTAGCGATAAACTGTTTAAAATTAACTCCATTACAAAAACTAGAGGCCACCACCTAAAATTGGTGGGAAAAAAATTCCAGCACAAGGGGCGAAGGGGGTTCTTCACAGTAAGATCAGTTAGGGTCTGGAGCTCACTGCCACAAGCGGTGATTTCAGCAAAGAATGTGGAATTATTCAAGAAACGTTTGGACGATTTCTTAAGGGACCGTCATATACAGGGGTACAGGTACTCCTAGAAAGAGATCCTAATAGGTTGGACTTGATGGACTAATATCTTTATTCAACCTCAAATACTATGTAACTATGTAAAATAACTGTACAATCAAATAATGTGTCACAATTAGTTCATTTGTATAACCTTGTAACACAATTCTTACTCATTGCTGTGTTTCTATACATGGGGGAGGATTCATCAAAACTGGAGCAGACACAATCTGGAGCAGCTGTGCATGGCAACCAATCAGCTTCTCCGTTCAGTTTGTTCAGTTAAGATTTGAGAATGAATAGAGAGAAGCTGATTGGTTGCCATGCATAGCTGCTCCAGATTGTGTCTGCTCCAGTTTTGATGAATCCTCCCCCATGTATAGAAACACAGCAATGAGTAAGAATTGTGTTACAAGGTTATACAAATGAACTAATTGTGTCCAGATTTTGTCTGCTCCAGTTTTGATAAATTCCCTTCATTGTATATAAAATAGCAAACTCCACACCAAATAAAACTAATGCATTAAGATCCCTGCCCGACATGTACATACAATGTGATATACAGGATTAATAACATCACCTTTCCCCCAGGATATCTTTCACAGTGTGAATAATCCTCCCTGGCTGCTCCTCTACTCTTTCATGATGTTGCAGCTCATACACACACATTACACAAAGCAGGAAGCTATTGATCACCACATAGAACCTTTCCCACTGACACCACAATCTGCATTACACAGGTTAATTAGCACTACAGGGCAGGTTATGTGTGGTCTGGACAGAGCCCATTGTCTTGCCAGTTTCATGGTCTGTCAATCCCACGTGATCTTGAAAAGAGCATTGGCAGGGTGGTAACGCATGGGTTAAATCCCACTGTGTTTCTATTGGCTGCTGATGGTAGGCTGCACAGAATACGCTGCATGTAACGAGCATCAAGGGGGAGACGCAGACCTAATTCAAGTTAATATGTCCAAAACGTGGCTGCTTCGGGTTATAAAAGCTGGCACCTTGGAGCTACGTGCTGTGCCTGGCACCTGGGGAGCGGAGTTACCCTGCATCCGCTGGGCTCTGCCTAATGGCTGCTGGACATGCAAAGGGACATCACAGCTTGTGACAGATGGAGAGACTGCTGCAGCTACTTAGCAAGCCCTACTGATAGCCAAACAACATGCCTCTACTCACATCCATGGAGATCGACCTTCATCTACATCTAGAGCTCTCATCCAGGGTCAACCCTTGAAGATCTCCTGGGCCAATCTGAAGATCTATGCCTGGCATCGCAGGATCTGCTGTCAACCACAATGATCCGTTTGTATTTCGGGACCTTTCAGCCTTTGCTGCTTCTTTGCCTCTTTGACTGGAGCTCCCTGCCTGTTGAAGGGGAAAAGCTCCCTGCTGGTCCTCGGGGAAGACTAGCATCCTCTGGGTTGGAGCCTTCAAATGCAGGATCTGCTTTAGTCCAGCGCTTCAGGAGAGGAACTACCTCGGTTAATATAACCAGGCAAGTAAGCCACCCTAGCTCATCGCCCAATGAGTCTGTGTGCCCCTATAAAGTGTTCAGTGAGGGCCAAGCAAACTACAAAAGCTTGTGTTTCAGGACCATGGCTAGCGATTTCCACTGCGACCAAAGAAACTGCCAGCTGCACAGTTCAGGGAGGTCTTTGTTGGCCAACGTGCTGAGGAACAGCAGTGTCCTCCTACAATGGCAGCCACCCGCTCTTTATAGATCTGACCTGAAAGGCTTTTTAATCAACTGCTCATGGAATGGCACTTATACTCGTTTCCAGTGTGACAGTGTCCAGCTTGGCATCAACTGCAGGGACTACCTCCTTACCAATGTCCATGATAATGTCAGGTACAGGATCTGCCTACAGACTCTCTACACTAACAGGACGTCTGTGGAGGAGTGTGTGGACTTTGTGGTGGAACCGGTGGGGATGCAGGATATTGTCATTGCCATGACAGCAGTTGGGGGTTCCATATGCGTGATGCTGGTCATCATTTGCCTGCTAGTGGCCTACATTACGGAGAACCTTATGCACCCCACCTTCATGCACCCTTCTGCTAAAAGGGGGACATGACTCACCAGCCAATAACATTTTCTTCTCTGCTGTGTAATTTATGATAGGTTAGTCACATTGTTCCTTAACTGAGATGATCTTAGATATATATCTTTGTACCAAGAGTTCTACCCATTTTGAATTGTTTTCCTACCATAAAATCCTCAACTATCTTCATCCCAGGTTGAGCAATGCATGCAGGGATTGCTCTCCTTTGTCCATAGAGAAGAGAATAAGCCCCTCTAATGTATTGGAAATTATGTGTTTGAGTACGAGTACTTCCAATGCTAAAAAGAATTCGCTTTTTTTCTCTCCATGTAACACGTATATATCAGCTAATAGTGGAAATCAAAGCTGTGTTTGCATGACTTGGCCATCAGCACGCAATAGTTCGGTCATTCAGAGATCTGCCGGTTGATAAAGCACTTGCTGCACGCCTGCAACTTTTAAACCCAACTTGCGGTGGGGGGGCATTGTATCTTGGTACACATGAATTATATAATAGTTCCTTTTTCTGTGGGCAAATGAAATTATCCTTCAACAGTATCAGAAATGTCCAAATGTGTTTGAAAATCCATGAAAACAATAATAAGCCCTTCTAATACTCATGCAAGCTCCATGTTGCTTACGTCACAACCCCTGTACAACATGATTAACATTAGTGATATCAGTTGCATGGCTTGCAGCAATTGCACTGTCTATGGCTGCCAGTAGTAATGAAGCAGAAAAGTGGACTAGCTCACTGTGAAATTTTGAAATGTTTGCCAAACAACACTCCATTGTACATAAGGGACTACTGTAAGGCCTGTGATTCTGTTACCGGTGAAAATCCAAGATTTCCAGTATGTATCTCTTGCCTGTTGTTCAGCTGGAAGTTCTGAGACTAGCTATTCCAAGCGGAATAAATACAATGGACCTATGAAGTTAGACAAGGCACAAAGTAGTGATTATGTAAAATGCACAGTATGTCATAGAGACCAATTCACCTTTCACTGGTCTGACTAGTTAACATAAAGCTGATTGGTTGCAAGGGGTTAGTGCACTTGACCTATCATCACTGTACTTTGCATTACCTTATAAAATAAGTTTACTTGGCTGCCTTTGCTTAGCATTTAGATATGTGGAAATCAAAATGTCATTTACGGTGTGCATACACAGTACAGCAAAGTTTGTTTCTTTATCCTTATTTCCTGTATTTATATAGAACCAATGTACGACGCAAAGCTTTAAAAATAACACAGATCCATTCACATCAGTCATTGCCCCCTGCAGAGCTCACAATTGCAGATCACTGATACATCCAAAGATGTACTCTTCTCATAGAAACAAATAATATATTTTTTTGGGGGGGTTGCAAACAAGTCCAAAGAGAACATAAAACTCCAAACCGATGGTGTCTCAGGTGTAATTTAAAACCCATTACCCAGAGTTGTAAGCAAATGGGCCACCTATGTAGCCACCATGTCTTCTGCATATAAACTAGCCATAGGCACAACTTCATGTACACCATGTGATAATACTAATGCACAGTCTTTAAACCTTTCCCCTATGTACACGTGGCCATGCATTTGCTTCCAATCTATAGTCTGTCAGATATTCACTTCGTACAGGTTTAATCCTTATTTGTCAGAAATATATTATTCTGACCATTAGACACAATGAAAGGTGTTTGTAGTATAGAATGATTGCTCCACTACCATGCAATGTGCAATACAAGAAATCTTTTGATGAAAAGCACAGAGACCTGGATGGTAAGATAAAGAACAAAGTTCAAAGTGTGGTGACTCATAAAAAAGAATGTAATCATCAACTTTAATGCTTGTGAGAGTTCCAAACTGAAGATATGTGAAATAGGCTTGGTTTCCATAGGTTAGTTCACGTCATAAATCATTGCTTATTGCTCTGCTGTAATAAATAACCTTGTTTGTACATTTTGAAGGAAAAAAACAACAGCTGTACTGTGTCTGGACTCCTGTAAAGGTTGCAGCTCAACCTTTTCAGCAGTACCAATACACATTTGGCTAATTCAGTAATCAGAAAATAGACCAAAGAAATGTGGAGGTGGTGCTTCAAAACCTGACAGCCTAGAAATGCTTAGACTGAACTCCGGCCAGATATTGCAGGCACAAACTGATACAGATCTGTATTTAAATGTATTTTTTGTAATGTAAGCAGTGCAAGTACTTACATTTGACTTGGTATCCACCTCTTGTAATCCCTCTACACCAAAGCTCAGGGTGATAGAGGGAGAAGCAGCACAAAGGGCCAATCAGTTATATTGCAGGGCTCATGCTCTAATAAGGAATGTGCTAATAGGAGGAGAACTGAGTGACAGAGAGATGCACTCATCAGTCTGCAGCTTTTC